AGAGGGTGGAAGAGTATTCTGTTACGTTAGAAAATAGAAAATAGAGGGCAATCCAAAAAAATATAATTTGAGTGAACAGTAAGACCTAAATTGACAAGGAAGGGGGTACTGAAATTTAAAACCTCCGGAACCGGACTTGAACAGAGGCGTTCCACATTCTTTGTGACTAACACCTCATCTGGCGTTATGATCTGTTTGAGTCATCGAAAGGCACAGCAATTGTTTGGCCAGTTACTTTTTGGAGGGGCAAGCAACAGCGGGGCCGAAACATCCCCTCTTGATCCGTATCCACACAAATATCTCATGATTTTTAACTATCGACTCTGTACTCCGTATACAATTTAACCTTGTACCATGAGAGGCGCCATATTGTGTAGAATAATGCTACGAGGCTAAGCGATTGGCCAAAGGATAATTTCATTGATTGTACCCTGTACTCTATATCATCCAACTATCATGGCATATGCAATAACAGTGGTCTTCTGACCCAGGTGCCTGTGATCTCGCTTTTACCGCTTTCACTTTTTTTTTTCTTGGTTAATCGAGATGCTCACATAACAGTCATTGGCCCGCTAATTGATCTCGTCTAAAGTAATATTTGACCGGCCAGATTTAAACCTGAAGGCCCTCCAGTTTCTTCGCGGTCTCATCTGCACCGCTCACAGCCTTCGTAGTCTGCTTGGCTTTGTTTTTCTGGGAAGTACTATCTTTCGGCAGCTCTTTGGAATATGGGATAAACTCGGGAGCGCCCGGGATATACTTCCTCAGAGGCTCTGGCACAATAATACCCTATCACATTATCAGTATCAACAATCATCAGCAGGTGGGTTCAGAGTCATGACTTACATCATCTGTCTGGTAGTTTTCAAGCACACAACAGAGTGTACGTTCGGTTGCACACAGAGTCGCATTCAAGGCATGGACATAGGACTTCTTCACATCAGTAGCCTTCTTCGTGCCATAGCGAATCTCTAGGGCTCTGGATTGATAGTCGGTACAGTTGGAGCAGGATACTAGCTCCTTGTACTCTCCTTGGAATGGAAACCACGCTTCAAGGTCATACTTCTTCGAGGCGGCATTGTTCAATGCCCCCGACACAATGGCGACAACCTGGTACGGTAGGCCAAGAGACCGGTAGAACTCTTCCGAAGTGGCCATCATTTCGTCAAATGCTTGCCACGAGTCTTCCGGTTTCGTGAGAACAAATTGTTCGATCTGGGCTGAGTTAGCATTACAAGCAACATGGGTAACCTAGGGCTTATCACCTTCTCGAACTGATGGACACGGAAGATTCCCCATGCATCCTTACCATGAGCACCTGCCTCTTTCCGGTAGCAAGTACTATATCCAGCGTACCTGCGTGCTAGTTAGCCCGAGGGAGAAGTTGACTAGACATGCCGGGACCACCAACTTGATTGGGAGATCTTTATCTTGCAGCCATTCTCCGTCATGCAAGGCTGAAAGCGGTTGCTCTGAAGTAGCGATTAGGTACTTGTCGGTGGACTTGTCTTCACTTTCCGTGACTTTGTAGAGCTCCTCGTCGAACTGTTCAAGCTGGGCGGTCTTCGCCATCATGTCCTTGAGCATGAATTGAGGGGGTTGGTTAGGCTTGTAACCTTTACCCCAGAGGAATTCCAAGCCATAGTTTATGAGCGCGAGATTAAGGAAAAGCCCATAACCTGTCAAACAGTAGCCGCGGTGGCCAACCACTTTGACACCACGCTCTGAATCAAACCCATCGAGACGAGTGAGAACCTCATGGTGCGAAAGACAGTTGCGCTTCTCGACCTTCACATTGTCGGGTGCCCATGTCCTTATTACGGCATTGTCGTCCTAACGGCAGTCCTTTCGGTTAAATGAGTCTCTAGCGTCCGACTGAGTATAATACATACCTCATTGTTGCTCACGGGAACAGAATCATGAACAAGGTTGCCAATAGTCCGAATTTTGCCGTCTCTTTGCTTTTCCTTCTGGATAGCCAGTTCCTCGGCGTCCTTCTTGCGCCTCTCGAGGTCGGCTTTCTGTTCCATCAGGTCATTTGCGTCTTCCTTGTTCTGTTTTAAGATTATGTCAGTTTTTTGTCAAGCAATAGAGGATACAATAGATGGATTAAATGAAAGTATAATTGGAATTATATGTAAAATAAATGCGAACCTTCTTTCTCTTGCCAATCTCTTTTTGGAGTGCATTAAGCTGGGAGTTTATTTGCATAACCTCATACCGTGCTATAAGATATGCGAAATCAGCCGTTTAAATTGTAAATATCTGTTATAAAGCAGACATAGCATACCACGCCGCGCCTCTTCATATAGGGAGAGGACCTCATCAACGACACTCTCCGGGGCGTAGCGTTTCCGTTGACTCTCTTTGATCTTGTTCGGATCGCCACCGCGATCACTGATAAAGTCTGCCAGATCAAGCATGATGAATGATTTTTTCTTGTACGATACAAAAATCCAGCGTCCCAAGATTCAACTAAGGAGGACAGAATAGCGGCGACAGTTGGCGGGGAGGACAGCTTGTAATAAGTAGGGAAGGAGGGGCTAGAGAACTCGGTTGGTGTATCATCAAATGGAGGGGCAGAAATTTAGGGGCTCGACCAATTGGGTATAGCATACTCCTACCCGCTAATGAAACTTAGTCGGCCGCTCTGCACAAACTGCATATGTCGGCTGTCTCACCCTTCCTTTCATATAGGACTTGATTCCAAACACAGCTCTCATGTCCTGGGAGATAAACTACTGTGTATGTATTAGATTATGTAACAGACAAAGACAGTACTTGAGAAATCGAGTGCCGAAAGAATCACAGCTGCGCCAGTGAAGAGCTGCAAAAAAACGTATCCCAGAAATACAACAACCTAGGCTAATCAACAGCTATGTTGCCTCTCCGAGAACTGGAAGTGATATCCAAGAGGCGTAGCCATTTTGGACCACCTAGGTCAATACCTATCCTGCTACATCATAGGCCTTATCACATTACGGCGCATTTGTTGCCTCCTGCCGGCTGTGATGGGTTTTGCGACTTCTCGATCTCCCCAATCATTAAGTCAAACGCTTTCGCAACATTATAGTCGAGACGAGCACTAGCCTCAGTAAATGCACAATGGAATTCTTCACAAAGCTGCCGGCCTTCATCTAGAGACACCTGGCGTTGCTCAGATTTGAGATCGCTTTTATTTCCGACAAGCACAAGGGGTACATGATCGGCACCCTTATTTCATGTCAGCTTCTAAGGTGGCTGCAAGGACCAGATTGGACACTCACAAGATGGTTCAAAATCTTGTCACGTATGACCCTCACCATGTCGAACGACTGACGCGAAGCCACCGAGTAGACAATAATATACCCATGTATTCCGATGAAATGCTTGGAGTTCAATATACTGTACTCGTCCTATAGCAGTATTAGCCACCCACGGGACTCTAGGCTCAGGCCAAATTTTCTTCATACCTGACCAGCTGTGTCAACGATTTCAGTGGCATAATCTTGGCCGTTGTATTTGATGATTCGACTGAACGTGTTTTCGATCGTCGGATAGTAGCTTTCTACAAAATGATGTTCAACAAATCGAACTGTAAGAGAAGATTTACCTGGGAAATATTTTAGTAAACATGATGCGATCGAACAAGCAAAGGATTATCAAAGAGATAGGAGGCCATACCCACAGAGCGACTGCCAACAATAGCTATTTTGCGCTGCTTCGGTGCACTAGGCATCTTCTAGAGTACGGAGCGGGAGAGTGGCTATAAAATATAAGGCGATTCTTGCGGAAGTTGGTCAATGAATTAGAGATTTTTGCGCACAAAGATATAGGCTTCTCGAGGTCATTAACAGGTATCTAAGCACGAACCCACGGTTTGTTAGAGGCCTCAGTGGTCAAACTTGGTTAATTGTGTAGCACCCTTCTGATAGGGATGGCAATCAGATCACAGATGAGCTCACCCGGAAGTGGCGAATAGGCAATCCAGGAGCGCAAACAAGTCAAACGGCAACTAGAACAGAGCTAAGTACCAGAATCGCTATTATGTCAAAACAATATTTATAATTACAACGGGACCTCCACAGCAAAAAATATGGATGGCAATCTAACAGAAGAAGTACAATAAATACTGAAAAACATCCTTTTGACAAAGGAATGTTGTTACTTGTGCTTTTCCAGTCTCTCCGTTGCAAGTAGCGATCATCAAAGGATAGGTGGGCGAGCCGCTCATAGCGGCCATTGCAAGAACAGGTCTTTATTGCTACAGTTTACATATGGAGTAACTACTGGGCCGGATGAGAATCGAAATTGCATATAGATATCTCGGAGCTTAATTTATAGACGTGCTTTCTGGCGTATCTGATTCAGGACATCTTTCAAGCGCGTTGTTGATCTACCTCCACGTTCTCCCGAACTCTCAAAAAGCTGCGAGTCTTGCTCAACCTTCTGGTGAAACTTTAAGAATTCTTCTGCCGTCGATAAGACTAGTAGAAGACCTTCGCCACGAATTGATTCCCTGATTTGATTCAACGCCTCCTCGTTGAGACACAAGGTAGCCAAGACAATCGAGAGGTATCCAATCACAACATTATAATGCACTTCGGACACAGAGCGCGCCTTATCTAAATTAGCTCAATGTGTCCTCCAAATGAGAATGATATACTCTTACCTGATCAACAAATGCAAGCCCCGCGGAAAAGTGCTCGAGAAGTAACTGGAGTAGTGACGTAGAATCAGAAGCTGGATTAAGAAAAGCAGCTCGTGAGAGCTCGCTTTGTTCCGACAAGTTTATGAGCACACCCAAAGCTAAGATGTTGGCATTTAAAGATCCATTTTCATCCACATTGCGATTCATAGATGCACCAGACAACCCAGTAGTGGCAAGTTCCACAAAATCCGAGACCATGTCAGGAGTAGCAAACTCTTCGCATAGCGAAGGCACATTATTTGTAAGGTTGAGTATCACCCTGGCATATAACATAGAAATCTGCTTACTCCGATCAAAGTGACAAGATGGCAGAAATTTACCATGGTTCTCGAAAAGCAGCCGGGAAAAGTTGTGATGATGATACGCTGATGTTCCCGGTAACATCGAGTGAGATTCCAGAATCAAGAATGACAACCTTGATAACTCATAGCTCTCGAGACTTGCTTTGGAGGTTGCATTGTCACATTGTGTTATCAGCAAGTCGACGATTTGTTCCGTTAGCGTCGCGGGCAAAGGTTCAATGTCGTCCCCCTTTTTGAGGAAGATAGAAATGCAGAATTGGATGCACGAAAGTGTCACCAAGCAAGGAGAAAGGCTCGGCGATGGGGACGCATTGAAAAGAACAGAGGAAATCTGAGGTAATGTCTTTTTGAAAGATCTTTGCACGACCTTGGACAGGCTGGTGGTTCCCTCAGTTGCCATATTTATGATGTCTTCGGTCATAGTAAGGAGCTTGTGAGACATTCCCAGGATTGTGGCCCAAAAAAATCTCAGACTTGTGTGAGAGAAAAGATCATTCGAGCAGATTAGTCTAAATGCACACAAAGCCATGGACGTAACGAGAATGTTCTGATCATCCGCGATGCACTTGACAAGCCGTTCATTGAAACCATATTCAGAGAATCGACGCACAAAGGCATGCTCAAGAAGTTTTGTGCATAGCTGTGCGAAGCTACTACATTTCCCAGAGAGAGAGTTATTTGGATCCTCGATGTCTTCGAATATCACCTCAACTGACTCCCGAAACCGTGCGTTATCTCCAGCCTGTCTAAGCTCATGTATGCTACGGACAGGTCTAGATTCGATTTCATCGTCGTCACTAACCAAATTCTGGTTACCATCATTGTTTGTGATGTGTGCCAGACTTGGGTCACCAGGATGTGGCGAGGATGCCGAAGTGTCCTGCTGTTCAAGAGCTGTCAAGCTCAGAGGATTACCCAAGAAAGATCGTTGGCGTGCATAAGTGATTCTAGAGCCCCGTATTCTGGAAAGCATCGAAGTGTCCGCTTTGATGGCCTTTTCAGAGCTATGATCTGTTACTTCATCCGGCCTTTCACAGTGGCTTGCGCGAGGGATGTCGGTTTCTTGCAGAGGCCGCGAGTTTTCTGAGTGTATGTTTTCAGCTACAATTAAGTCAGAACCACTCGATCCAGTCTCCTTGGACGGTACTGCTATACCTAGCAAATCAACCAGTCTCTTTCGAGCAGAGACAGTTCTCCTGTCATGCCCAGCTTCCGCCAAAGTCCGGCTGGGTGTGCTACCGTCTGAGATGGGCTGTTCTTCAATGCGAAGCTGTCGTGACACAGACGCAGCTGGGTTGTAAGGGAACTCCGATTCTCTGCGTTCAATATGGGATTCCTTCAGAGGACTGCAATTCCCTTCAATATCATTGGACTTGTAAGCAACATCAGCCGCACAATCATATCTAGGCTCGTTATTATCCGAGGCTGCGTCATCGCTATCGCGTACGTCAATCTGGTCCAGGGCTGGCCATGACTGCTCCGCATGCATATACCTCCTCTTCTTTCGACTGCGCTCGGATTCGTACAGGCCTCTATTCGGAGGAGTAAAAGGCTCTTGGGCCAGTTGATAGCCTGCAGATCCACTGCGTTTTTTAAACAGTGTCGGGGGCCCAGTTGTAACTTTATCCGCTTGCGATCGTGTGCCAGGGGACGCTTCCGCTGTTGAACGGCCAGGCCTCCCCGAAGCTCTTCTGGCCGTATCTTTCTGGGGCATTTAGGAGTAGTACTTCCAATCAACTGCGCATGAGTCTATGATCTCTCAAGCGTAGCGGGGTGCAAGGCACTTGATAAAAATTGGTGGCATCCAGATTTGCTTGTAGTACCAAAAAAAACTGGAGTGGGCTATGTTTTAAAGGCAGGTGTGAGATCGCGTTGGAACGCACCATATCGTGGACAGTCGAATAGATAGATGACTGGACTACAACATCGCACTATGTACTATCTGGTACTCCGTACAATGCAAGCTTCCGAGGTTGGCTTGACCCACCATAGTGGTATTCCGTATTTCACTGAGAATACCTTACTAATATCCGCTGATTCTCTCAATCACGGGACTGACGCAACAGCTTCCAAAAGGTCAAGCTTTTAGATTATAAATGCTCAATGCAATTGTGCACTCGTCCATATGAATTGTGTCCTTTGTTATATAGTCAGAAGTTGTGAAAATGTAGTCTACAGTACTTCTGTGTATTATAACCAAGGTTAAAACTTAGGCCACGATAAATTCTAGCTACTTCGAGTTTGAGCATGCCTATTCCCAATCATCAGACACAATTCAACATTCACTGCATTGGGTCCACCTTAAGATGTTGGAGGCTTGAGAAGGCGACCGTTGACAATGATGTCATATCGACAGAAGATTTACATATAAGCTTATTCTTATGAAAGGCATGTTTGCATGGTTACAAGGCGGTGTCTTACCGTGTTAGTAAGGGAAGATTTATAGTCAAGAGGAAAGCTGTTCTAGTGTGGGAAATGGCATTTATAACTTCTAGAGTCAAAGTGCATTATGTAGACGGTGAAAGGAAAACGGAAAGAAAAAAGCCTTGTGTCTACTTTCTGCGCTTGATACTCGATAGATATCTACTTAATCCGTCGACTAACTTACGCCTTGCTTACTATTCCACGTTTCCGTTGTTTTGAAGTAAGGGTCAAGTGCCGATACCAGGTCATAGCTACCCAGTATACAGCGACGTTGCCGAATCGACCGGATCAGCTATAAAAAATTACCCCCGGGTGCCTGCGTAAAATTCTATCGATTGGGGTTTGGAGTCACAGGGCAAAGTGATCCAAAAGACATAAATTGATAGAAGGACGAACAACCACGAACCACCTAGTTATTGGCTTTAAAGGGTTCACGGTGGTCGGGGAAAAGCACTGTTCACGAGTTGGTACCCACTAGGGGTATATGGTATAAAGTGTGAAGAGGATATTTTCATTAGCAATTGTTTCGAGATGTATCAGATTAGGCGGAAACTCAGTTCCGAACTTGAAAGGCGTTTGTTTAATGCCCATACCCAAATCTTGGGCCGAAGTTGATTTTTCAGGCTAGCTTGGGTGCTCTCTCAAAGGATAATGGACGGTTCTAGACTGATTGCATGTGGTTGAATCCACTTCTATGGATAGTTTACCGCAGTACTACCGTGATACTCCGTATTACGATTGACTACGGAGTACTAATAGCCAACTCAGGTAGTCCCACTAACTTATTGTACCAATGAGTTAACGTTTTAGCCTCGCAGATTGTTGTCCTGAGCTTTACATGCCTGCATTACTCTCTAAACTTCAACCCAACCCTTCTACCTTGGTAACAGGTTACTTCGCTGCAAATACCTTTCCTTTCCTGTTTCTTCACCACTTTTCGTCTCTTTCATTTGTGGAAGGCGGGGATAAGCTACCATAGCTAAGACGAACGAGATGTCAGAAGCCACTCCCTCCCCCGCGCAAGGCGTTGGCCCCATCTACAGGCCCGATGGCGAAAAGCCCACAGCGACAGTATCTAAAGACATATCGTACGAGAATGTCCACGTTTTACCTCAGTCCCCTCAGCTGATCGCTCTTTTGACGTAAGATGAAGGCCGATTCAAAACTTATAGGCTAACATTAGTCAGTATCCTCTGCTGACACCTTTCGTAGCATGATCAGAGATAGAAGGACTAGCCGTGCCGATTTCATCTTCTACTCAAACAGGATCATACGCCTCCTGGTGGAGGAGGGGCTCAATCACCTGCCAGTGGTTGAACAATCGGTCACGACACCTGTAGGTCGCGTCTATCTTGGAGTCCGGTTCGAAGGGAAAATATGCGGCGTTTCCATCATGAGAGCAGGAGAGGCGATGGAGCAGGGTTTGAGAGATTGTTGTCGTTCTGTCCGAATCGGAAAAATCCTTATACAGAGGGACGAGGAAACTTGCAAGCCAAAACTGTTCTATGAAAAGCTCCCTGGTGACATCGCAAATCGATGGGTGCTTCTTCTTGATCCTATGTTTGCAACAGGCAAGTTCTTCGACTCAACGCACTAAACGAACTAACACAAAACAGGGGGCTCTGCAACACTTGCCGTTGAGGTCTTGAAAGCAAAGGGGGTCCCGGAGGACCGCATTTTGTTTCTTAACCTTATCGCAAGCCCTTCAGGCGTTGCAGATTTTGCTGAACGCTTTCCAAAACTCAGAGTAGTGACTGCTTTCATAGATCAAGGCCTAGATGACAAAAAGTGAGTATCTCGGGTCTATAAAACCTACATTTACATTGCTGATCAAGGCCATTCTAGATACATCATACCAGGGCTTGGTGACTTCGGCGACCGCTATTACACGCTGTAGCCATACCAACGAGTATTGTGGCTTCAGAAACCACTATGATATACATACATACATATGTATGAATAAAGTACACGTTTACAGCTTAACGATGTCGCAGCCGGATTCCATTCACAGTATTAGGGTATAGTATCTTCCACTAAGAAGTGTGCCGCAAGTTCAATGTTACTTCATTTGGTACGCTGCGGGATCCTCTAAGTTCAGAGTCAGTATTCATCGGCATATGTATCGTTCCGATCCGCTTCCTCGAACCCAACATCACGAGCGCTGGGGGAAGTAGCGAAATCGTTCGACGGTCTGACACGAGGATCATTATCCTCGTACTTGGTAGCAGTATCCTTGGCAACCGCGTCACAGGCATCAACCCAGTCCGAGTATACATCAACAGCAGCGGAGAGATCTAAGTATATATCATAAGCAAACGCCGCTCACGTAGAAGAGATCATGCACGCACAGTTTATGCCCGTCTGAAATCGCTGACCGCAGACTTTGCAGGACAGGTTCCCTAGGCCAAGTTTCTTGTCTAGTTTTACGACGATGGAGTTTTCGTGGTTGCAGAAAAGGCACGCAAATGTCGTAGGCAACGGTTCTCTCTAACTCAGTGTTAGCGACGGTAACGCCGAGGAATCAGAAGGTGGTCACCTTTCTAGGTTGCTGTGGTTGCCTGCTCGACTTCTTCCGCTTACCCTAAATTCATAAGAGCTTAGAGAGAGGTAGATTGGCAATGTGTAGAGTGGCATACCATGCTTCAGAGTTTCTGGGTGACGCGACCGGCAATTTAAGCTGTCCTTTAATACTGTAAGAAATTTGAACCTCTTGGGTTGACAGCTCAACAGCCGATGTGAGGTCAGCAGAGCAATGCACGAAACTGCTGCGAAGTCGGCGGCAAATTTATGTTGTGAAGGCACAAATTTAGTGAAACAAAGCGGTGCGAGCAAATGACCGGACCGATTTTATCTGAGTGTGCTTCGCAAACTATGAGGAAGTTTGAGTGCTTCAGTGGAGGACTAGGGATCTTCGGGGAGGGGGGCTAGACAGGTACAGCCTAATCATCCACTACATGCACTCCCCGAGACTGAAGAACACTATTCGGTGCACAAGGTAATGGAAAAGCAACCAGTTGGTTGACTGGCGGTAGATTAGTCATCGACTGGTAGTTTACTAACTAGTTAGTTAACTAAAATAACTATGTAGAGTGACTAGTCAAATGGTTAACTTAGTTCCCGCCCGAATCGGCCAGCCATACAACTTCATACAAAAGATATCTATAACATCTCGGCGATTATGACTTAGCAATTTATGATTAATCAATGGTTCTATTAGGTGGTAGTATATGTATCAGAATATTATCGAGTTTTTTATTCTTAATATAGGGTTATATAATGACTAGAGAACCTATATGCTAAGTTAACCTTAGTAGTTACTGGTGATGAAACAAATGAAATGAGAACGAGGGGGGGAAAGAAGATCGGAAATATTTATTATTGTTTGTATGATTTATGTAGATTCCACATATCTCTGCTAGTTGAGATACCATGAACTGAGAATGGCTTTCGTATGGCACGGGTGGTTGACTCGGGCGGAAAGTACACCACCGTATGTTACAGAGTAATGAATATAACTACTATGTAGCTGTGTAATGTGATGCATTCGAAGTTGTAACAATTAAATTCTATATGGATAATAAAAGAGCCCTTGAGAAGAGCCCTTGAAATCTGCGGAATACTGGTCTGAAGAGGTAAAGACATTAGACAGCATAATGTTAAAATTTGTACTTTACTGAGCCACTTGAGCATAGACACCTGAGAATTTCGGGAAAAGCCTATAGCAGTACAACCAGGCACTTGCAATCTCGAAGCTGTCCAAGTTATGGGAAGATACTCCGTAGAAACGGGGTAGATAAAGTCATGTGATGTAAAAGTTTTGTCCAATCATTGTGGAGATTGGGGCGCTTGGTGGAGGCGCAAATATTATGTAACTGGATAGGGCCGACGCCTCGCTTAGCCGACTTTTCTGTGGGATTTCGATTTCTACTCTCATCCCGCGATCGAGCAGCAAGCAGCAAGCAGCGACAATCGATCCGACTCACCTCCACCAGAGCGTGTGGTGTGATATCCTAGTCTGTCTTCAAGCCGCGCAAGATAGACACGAGTCGCAAATATGGCCGTTGGAAAGTATGTGAACGCCCTACTCTTTTATGAATTTAAGTTGCAGCAATTCGACCGTATTGCGCTCTTGCTGATTTCATGGCAGGAACAAGCGCTTGTCGAAGGGCAAGAAGGGTGTTAAGAAGAGAACTGTTGACCCTTTCACCCGGAAAGACGAGTACTCTGTTAAGGTAAGTTGACGATTCAAGAGTTTGTGGATTTTGGCTAACAAAAATAGGCTCCCTCTACCTTCCAGACTAGAGAGTATGGCATCGCCCCTCCCCCCATTTCGTCAGGACTTTCAGATATCATTCAGCCTCGTTATAGACATCTTTTCTCGCATTCTCCCTGTGCAAACCAGTCGCTGACGTTCCCTTTGTTGAAGTGTTGGAAAGACTCTGGTGAACCGTACCAGTGGTCTGAAGAACGCGAACGATTCCCTGAAGGGCCGTATCTTCGAAGTCTCTCTTGCCGACTTGCAGAACGACGAGGACCATGCCTTCCGTAAGGTCAAGCTCCGCGTGGATGAGATCCAGGGAAAGAACTGCCTGACCAACTTCCACGGTCTGGATTTCACGACCGACAAGCTGCGATCCCTTGTGCGCAAGTGGCAGTCGCTGATTGAAGCCAACGTCACTGTGAAGACGACCGATGACTATCTTCTCCGTCTGTTCGCCATCGCCTTCACGAAGAGACGCCCCAACCAGATCAAGAAGACTACATATGCTCGCTCGTCCCAAATCCGCGCTATCCGCAAGAAGATGACCGAGATCATGCAGCGCGAGGCCGCTAGCTGCTCTCTCGCCCAGCTTACTACCAAGCTCATTCCCGAAGTTATCGGTCGTGAGATTGAGAAGGCTACCCAGGGAATTTACCCCCTGCAGAACGTTCGTTTCCCTCGTTCCTCATCTATTATTAAATAATTGCGACCCCTCTAATGCTCCATTAGGTCCACATCCGCAAGGTCAAGCTTCTCAAGTCTCCCAAGTTCGACCTCGGTGCGCTTCTGAACTTGCATGGCGAGTCTACAACCGATGACAAGGGACACAAGGTTGAGAGAGAGTTCAAGGAACAGGTCCTTGAGAGCGTTTAAGCTCTAGCTATTCGCTGGTCATGGATTCTGGTTGCTCTGCCATCTTGGGTTCACGGTGCCACTGCTCCAAGTATGATAAGTTTATGTCAAAAGTAGTGTCGTTAGCCAACAAATGACAGTATATGCAAGTTGTTCACAACGCCATGCAGCTTCTCAGCTAGGTCTTATCACTGGGACGTTTTAATTTTATTCATGGGTAAAGCGGAAGGGTAAACATTTTAGTTTGGTATGTTCAACGTTTGGCTGATATCCTTCCTAGTCGTTGATTACTAAATTGTAGGTATTTTGGATTGAAGATACATCTGATTGGCGGCTTCTTTTTGCTATAGGACTTGTGCGTCCACTTTCGGATGAACCCCGTACTCGGTATATTTTAGGCTTCCAACTCCGCTTTTCTGTACATCGTGTTACATGAGTACCACACATGTCTTAGTGTATGGCATGCGGAAGGTCGGCCCAGGCCCAAGAAGAATAAAGCTTGGCAGTAATGTGTTAGAAGTCCGATGCTACATAGTTATCATTATTTCAGGCAGCTTCTATACCTAAGGCTTTTCACGCTGCCAAGAAATCGAACTTTCACTGGCAACATTCCTCAGTCCTTTATTTCAGGGTTTTGTATGAACCGCGAGAACCGCTTCTACATGTAAGATCCCTTTTTGGTGCGCTCCTTGGAGGTCTTCTGCCCACCTCCCATGCTATCCGGCAACAGCCTTGAGTAACTGGGCCACATTGGCTCAGATGCACATTCGTTATAAGTTTGGCCCTTGGAGGCGTTCAGGCCTCAGGGTGATAAACTACGGACAGATCTAAGGGCCATGGCTTCAACGGCACCCTTTCTTTGTCGTCTGTACCGCTATTGCGAATAAAATTCTGGCTACCTGATATGAAGAAACCTGATATCAGTAGGGAAACTTATTACTCCCTTTGTTTATCCGCATTTCCTTTGTTCATTTATTAATCATTCTTATATCTTATTGTGTTCCTTTCCAGCACCTTGCAGGCCACGCTAGAGATCCTAATCAGCTTATATCTGATTTCTTTGATTATAGCAGTAATCTATTGTCTATCTTTATATTATCAATATATTATAAGAGCAGAAATATTCTATTTATTTTAGATTTTTGTTTTTATTTTATCTGTAAGAGATAGGGCAGTCAGCTAGCTGTAATCCCAGTGACAGCATGAAGAACTACAATAATATAAGCTAACCTCCCTGAATCTCGATTCAGCGCGCCACTCAAACACTTCTTATCTTTACATTTTCGTCTTCTGGATCTAAATTTCAGCACATCTTTTAAGTGTTTCTTATTTTTATCTTCTTATCTTCCTGGATTTTGTTTTAGTATACCCTTGAAAATTTCTTACCTTTACCTGAAGAGACAAGTCATATATTAAGAAATCAATCTATGTGATAGGATCTACTTGTCAGGGTAGAAAGCCTGCTGACTAGGTAAGGAGTCAGCTACTAAATATAATGGATAATTTTAATAATAATAAAGATAGCCTATATTTATAAAATAGACTGATTCTTGAGAAATTAGTAATTTATTATAAAAAATCAATATTTCTTAGATATTAATAAAATACGCAACCATTATTAACAATTTTATAATTTTTATAAGTATTATAATATATTATCCTGATGCTTAAGACCCTGATAGTTAAATTATTTTATTATGAATAATATTCTTTTTACTAGAATTAATCTATCTGGCTTAAATATTAGAAATAATTCTATATATTTTTAATTTAAAATAATATAA